AAATGTTCGAATCTCTTGGAACCTGTCTTTATCCAGCTGGCAGTAAAAGTTGACAAGAGGGAGCTGTTGGTGCCGACTGCGACACTCGGCATCACACTGCAGCTCAGTGAGCTCCAGCTGCAGGTGGTCTGGAGTGTCATCAGGGTCCACAGAGAAAGGAGATGAAAAAAACGTTATCTCCTTTTCAATAGCTGCAAAATCCCGAAAGTGCTGTTGAAACTCCTCAGCCAGAGATGAGGTGTCTGCTTCATACCTCCTTATTTGCGCACTCCTATTGTTCTGTGGAAAACTAGTCATTATTTCCTGCAGCTATGGGAAATGTGTGGTATTGGGCTGCGTTTGTGACAGGTGCCTTTGGAAAAGTAGCAGCTTGGTCCCAAAGGCTTTGATATATGAATACTGTTGGCTTACCACTGCATTTTGCCCCTGAAGGCTCGTGTTCAGCACGTTCAGATGTCTTGTTATGTCAACTAAAAATCCAAAATCAGCCAGCCAAACAGGATCAGATAGCTCTGGCATCGGTTGTCCCTTTTTTGCCAAGACTTGTCTGATTTCCTCCCTAAGAGAGTAGAAGCACTGCAGCGCAGACCCCCAACTGAGTCTGCGCTGGGGGTGTATTACCTCATTGCGCAATGAGGTGTATTACCTCATTGTGATACACAACATCTCCATATTCAGCCTGTATGTTGAGTAGAAACTGTTGAAACTGGCGGTGGCACAGGGCTTTGGAACGAATATAATTAATAGCCTTCATCACCGGTTTCATAACATGATCATATTTCAGATGTTTGGCACAGAGAACTTGTTGGTGAATAATACAGTGGAGTTTTATAGATTTGCCTCCTTCTTCGCTGACTTTGTTATAGACTAGGGTTGATAATCCACCAGCCATGGCAGGTGTGCCATCCGTAATAATCCCAGTGACTTTATTCCATGGAAGTTTCATGTCATCTACAGCGGAACAAACAGAAACAAATAAATCTGTTCCTCTTGTTTGGTCCTTAAGGCTCTGGAGGTCAAGTAGCTCTTCACTCACGTTCATGTCATTGTCCACTCCTCTCAAAAAAAATCAATAACTGAGCGGTGTCAAATGCATCCGTGTTTTCGTCACAGGCTAATGAAAAAAAGTCAAACTTCACTCCTTTTGCCTCTGTCTCTTAATATCTGATGAAACGTCTTCAGTTCTCCGTACCACAGTGTTACAAGCCAGGCAAACATTGGCAAACTCTTGCTTCTTCTCAGGACAAAATTTCTCCACCATTTTCATCACGCAGTCTTTAATAAATTCACCCTCAGTAAAAGGTTTGCAGTGCATGGCAATCAGCGTTGCCACCTCGTAGCTTGCCTTTGTGGCATTTTCATTTGACTCACAGGCTCTTGTGAAAAAGCGCTGCTGTGCCATTAAAGCAGCTTCCAGTTCCTTCAATTTTTTGCTGCGTTCATTCCCGGTTAGCTTGTTGTAGTTAGCATGTTTCGTCTGGTAGTGCCTCTTGATATTGAATTCCTTGAAAACAGCCACAGTCTCTTGGCAAATTAGGCAGACACAGTTGTTTCGTATTTCAGTGAAAAAATACTCCAATTTCCACTTGTCCTGGAAGTGGCGGCCCTCGCTGTCAACTTTCCTTTTTTTAGTTACAGTCACCATTTTAGAAATGGGCACACAAGCCTTGTGTCACAAGGGTCACGCAGCGAGAGTGCTGACTCAGGTCTACTGTCATCTTCTGGTGAAATATAACCACCAGGCTTGAAGGAGCAGGAGGCAGCAGGGGACAGCTGCGGGAACCACTGTGCGGTGAAGGGAAAAACGCTGGCCGGCGGGGATGAGTGACAGGCTGAGCCGGCGGGGAGAAGAGGCTGCAGGCTACTCGAAATTTGAAAATGGGCCGCAATTGGCCCCCCGGACCGGACTTTGGACATGCCTGCCTTACATGCTCGCTTTTGCACACTCCTATCACTCTTGTGTATACCTCACTCTCATACACACCCAACTCACTCAAATCTAATACTTGCCCAAGAACATGGGTCCTCAAACTACAGCCTGGGGGCCGGATACGGCCCACCATGCCCATTTATCCAGCCCGCCATGCCCATTTGGACCCGCCGCACCCACACATGCGCCCACCACTGCCCACCTTGCCCTGCATGTGGGGAGGCAGCAGTTTGCTTGCTTGGAGAAAATGATCTCCAAGCAAGGAAGCCGCTGCCTTGTGTGCCTGCCTTGTGGCACATGCCCACCCCTGCCTGCGCCTTGTCTCCCCTCGCCACGTGGCCTCCACACGCCTCAGCGCACACATCTGCACGTGCCACCCCCGCGCCGGCCCGCACATGCCAGCGGCGCCACCTTTCCGGCCCACACACAGCACTGGCACCTTTCAACTAGACCCCTGGTGAAAAAGTTTGAGGATCCCTGCCCAAGAACATTTCAGAGATCTACCAGCTGTTTTGATTGTATAAAACTAACACACTTCCCAGAAGAATTTCTCAAGTTACCCACCCATCCATAAAATATTGGCTTCTAATCCTTTTTACACCTCTAATGCACTGTGTTCCTGAACAATCATGATATCCTACACTCTTGTCATGTAGAACATTTTTAGGGTGGAAAAACAGGAAAAATCAACTCTAGGAACGTATTCCATAATTCCTGCCAGAGAACCTGTTCCTAGAGCTTCATAGATACTCAACAGGACCTTAAAAGTGTCAGATGTTTGGGGAATGCTCTAGAATCAATGCTCCAGGTTCTGTGGCAGTCATGCTAGAGCCCATGCTAGAGCATTTTTTCTCTTCTTGGCTGCCTGCAGCCCACATTCCATAATTTTTGTTGCTATATATGTTTACTTGGAAATAAGACCCATTCTGTTCAATAGAGTGTATATTTACTGTAGTGTTCATTTGAGTAGATAGTTGGGAATTGCACTGTATATTGAAAATAAGGTGTTGTTCTGAATGAAAGTTGTTGATACAAATTGCAACTTAATTGTTTTACTTTTTTTGTTTTTTAGTCCGGCTAAACCAAAGAATATTGAGTTAAACTTTAAGGCTTCTCAAATAACACAAGATATAGAAAATGAGCAAGATTCCATGGATAAAACAGTTAAAATTAACTTCAGTATTGCCAATAAAATATCTATGTTTGAAAACAAACATGCTAATCAGAATCAATCTTCCGAATTCTCCACATCGAAAAAAGGTGCAATATCAAATACATTTGTTGGCAGAGCAAAGCTGAAGTTTGGGAAACAGCATCCTGAAAGTGAACAGTCAAACAAAATAACAACTAAGGCAAGCAACCGCCAGAAAGCATTGCAGAATGGTACAAAAGTGAAAGAATCTTCTTCAGATACAAAAATCAAGTCAGAGGGAAGGATTCAGTCAAGCAGTATAATCAATGAGGAAGTTGGGAAACTAGCTGGTTCCCAGCTTAATCAAAATGGTAAAGTAGAAGATAATCAAGCAAATGTTTTCACTCCTAAAAAAATGGAAGCAGATTTAGCCAAGGATAATCATCTACCTAAAACTACACCCATACAACTGAGTGAAGAAACGGAGACTTCCCAAAACAGTAACAGCGGAATGAATGCCAGATCCAGATCTCCTGAAAGTGGAGGAAAACAACGTGTGGGCATAGACATTTGTTCCCCACGTACAGAGGATAAAGATAAAAGTCTCATTCAATCTGACCCAGTGCCTGGAATATCAGAATTAAAGTGTGATATGACCCCTCAGATTGAAAACAAGGACAAAAGTATGACAAATGCAGTTTTGGAAGATGGACAGGTATTTGAACAAAATATTAGTGGACTGGAAGATTTGAACAGTAGCTGTGATGTTCTTAAAGCTGGTAACAGTGATGTTATTTGTGATTCTCCTTCAGACATGGCGAAGTTTACTGAAACACTGAAAAATCTGGACAGTTCTATTTGTATACCTCAGAAAAAGAAAAAGCCCAAGCTTCCAAAATCTCCTGCCCCTCACTTTGCTATGCCTCCAATTCATGAAGATCATTTAGAGAAAATATTTGATCCCAATATATTTACAGTTGGATTGGGAATAAAGAGAGACAGAGCACAAGACCTAGCCCCATCCCTTCAGCTTAAATTGCAAAGCCTAGAAATTGAAGCTAAAGTCAAACCCAAGCGTGCCTCTACTGAAAATAGCCTTATTTTCCAGTCACTGAAATCATCCAATAGAGGATATCCTATACTGACACAGGAAAAAAGTGGAGAAGAGAGCAAGGATAGTACAGATGGCAATATTAAGCGATCTCGAATCGAAAGTAGTCCCATCTTCTTAAGCCTGCTGACACCCACAGCTAACGAAAATGTTTTCAGGCCATCTGCAACTTCAGTAAATGCTATTACAACCTCTTTTGCATCTCAGGTGACTGCTGATTCTTCAGGAACACCTCCTGTAATAGTTGATACTGCTCAGAAATCAGAGGTAATAGAACAAGCATGAAAGTCATACTGATTAATTATTGAATTATGTTTTATCAATAACCAGCCTTTCGTTTTTCATTTCATTTCATTATTCAGTCTATTTCAGAGTTCAAAGCTCCAAGCTATATGCAAACTGACGATGCAAAAAAGGAGGGAATTTTACAAATGCCGAACTTTGGAAATCTGGACCTCAGTTTTTCAAGCTGGTTGAAATCTGGACAACATGAAGCAAATAGTTTTGTAGATACAGAGGTGAGTTTAATGCAGTATGTTTTTATGTAATTTGCCTGTCAAACTGATATTGTGTTTGATAGCCTTTGGCTATCCCATGACCCCCTTCTCCACTGGAGAAAGGTACAGGGTAGGCAAAGCAGTCCAAATTGTAGCTTGGAGTGAAGGATTGCTGCTTTGCACCTTAATCAAGCAGCTTTGCTATGTGCAAACTAGAAAAGTCACCAAGTAGCAAAGCTGGGTCCTTAGCTGAAAATCCTAGTTGTGCTGATGTTTGACATGTCAAAGGCTCAGACATTAGCTGGCCTGTAAGGAACTGTGAGGGGATCATCTGAGCCCTCCAGCCAAAACCAGTTCCCTGTGGTAGAAGCTGTTCACTGATAGAATGACACCACTAGATACAACCCAATGATTGTGTGGCCAGAGTGTGTACTATTACACACTTCGTATTCGTTTGCTGCACAGGTGTTTCCTTAATGGCCAAAGAGTCTTCTAAAATTACTTAAGAAAGTCTTCTGCATGGGCCTGTTCAGGGTAATGATTTAAATAGAAGCACATAAAGAAATGTTTAATAGTGTTATGGTTTTACCAAATAGGCTTCAGTTGCTGATTATATGAAACTGGGATACTGACTTTCGAAAGTCACTAGCTTTTAAGAAAGTTGTTTTTTAGTCAGTTGGAAAGGTTTGCCCTGAAAAGCTCTAAATATTTTGAGGTTGATATTAAGGGAATCTAATGAGGCATTGTCTTGAGACCTTACAGGTATGATAATACTGTGAGTGTGCACCAGCCATAAGATTTGGTTTTCAGCACAGTCTGGTGATACAGAAAATTGCTTGATTTGCTTGGATTGATTCAGAGACCTGCCTAGCTTGGATTTGGATCTCGATTTGGAAAACCAAATTTTAATGTTTTTCAATGATTAAAACTGAATATCAACAAATAGCTACAACTTCATCTGTGTGGCAGAATTGGATGAAATTTGCTGGCATAGTGGATCATTAGGAGGGGATTGTGCCTGCCAAATTCCACATGCTTTTGTGCTATGCAACATTATGTTTTGGTTTACTTTTAAAGGAAACTGCTGATACTCTTTTTGTTACTTGGTAGCATTAGATGAAAGTTGTTGAGACACTTGTTCCTTCTGAAGGGAAAAACTTGCCAAGTATCAGATGTAGGAAATTTCAGCATAAGAGCAGCCTTGATGTTGTGCTTGTCACCTGGTTTTTATTGTGGGCAGTTATCAAAATAACACATGACATAGTTAAGAAACTTGAAAAATTCCAGAAGGATAGATATAGATGAAGGGTTCAACTACTGCAGGTGAACAGGAGTGGTAAATGATTTGCTTCTCTTCCATGTCTTTTTGATAATTTGTATAAAAATGGCATTTGGCATAGAAGTGGTACCAGAGAACAAATGTGCAAACTTTCATAGACAGATGGAAGGGCATGAGTTATGTTTAGAAAGGTTGGAGAAGTCTGCAATAAAGTGAATTGATTATATATTTCAGAATTTGACTTGCAAATTTATTTATTTAAAACGTTTGTATACCATCCCATCACAAACATCTCGGGGCAGTTCACAACAACACAAATTCTACAAATGAACCAGCTTTTTTTCGGCAGAGGGGGCAAACTTTGTTTGGGCCAGCAGGGGCAGGCGGGGAATTCATACAATTTGTTTATTTGGAGAAGCAAGTGCTCTTTAACAGTACTATGCCTTAACACTAATGAATTTTAACTAATGCACATTCGCTTGAGTGTGCATTTGCAGAGGAACAAAATTCTTGTGCAAAAATATGAATTCATCAGTGAACAGACAGGGCAGCAAAAGATGACTGATGATCTATGAAACACAGATGGAATGGATTTAACAGCACCTGAACATCAATAGTAATGATTATTGAAAAGGTTTAAAGGTGTAATGTTTACACAGGAAAAATGCATCCTGTAGCTCTTAGCCTTTTCCTTTTTTAATTTACTTCGCAGTTAGCACCAGAATTTGTAATTGTGTAAGGGTGAATGACGGATGAGTAGTGTTCAGTGGCAGAGTCAGAAGGATCAACTAAGGAAATACCCATTCACCAAAGAAATACCCTCTGAGATTCCAGAGACTCCACCTAACCTCTTCTTGTAGCTATTGATGGGGGAGAGAACCAGAAAAGATTACTAAGCACTGGAACTGCCCTATAGTGTATTGAGCATCTTTCTTCAACATCCCTCCTGCAAAGCATGGAGATTGGAGCGTTTCATAAAATCTTTCGCTCTGTTGGATTTACATCTCTACAACTGAGGTGTAACTGAGTTGCTAAATGTTTTACATGGGTGACTTCAAATGGTGATGTTACATCAATTAGACTTTAAAACAGAGTAGGGTAATTTTGAACTGTAAAATCCCTTAAGAGGACTATATATTAATAACACAAAATATAAAAGATGGCTGTTAAAATGTTTTGAGGTATATATCTCTTCATGTGAAATACTCTAACCAAAGGGTCCAGTATTTTAAATATTTTCTTATATGAGTAAGTAGAATGTATCTTGTTTTCTGCTTGATTTTTAATGGTTTATTCTCCTCTGCTTTTAACAGGTTTTTTCAGTAAATCACTCAAATAAAATTAATCCTAGGCCTGGAAAGGTAATCTTTTTCTTTAGTGGATACCTATTTGTTTCTAATTTTCCTTGTTAAATTTATACAGACTGAAATGATTTTTTAATAATATAGATGGTGATTTGCAGTAGACCAGATCCATCTAAAAACACTGTTGAAGTTTTTCATGATGTGTTGGACTGCACCTCTTGGATACTGTCACCTGTGATTTTAGTTAAAATCATCCGAGGATGGTAAGAATAAAGTCCTAATGCCTACTGTTAACCCTGGTTCTAAACTCAGTCATGCTGTATTATGTTTAAACATGCTTTAATTTGTTCCTTCAGTGTATACTTCTCAGCTTGGCCTCATACCTGTTTTTTTTTTTTTTGGCCTAGTTCGACTAAACAACGTTAGAACTTGTGTTAAGGCATGTTTTGAACTGCCCCAAGAAGCACAGTTCTTGATCTAAAGCATGTAGAAGTTTATTGCCAACTTTGCTCATATTTCTTACTGTTCTGCTTTGATGTTCTAAAAGTTTATCCTGTGGACTTAAGTAACCTCATTTTTTACCACACTGTCTTATTTCTGTCAAATGATTACTGGTTTTGGCTTTGAGTTGACCAACAGGAAAGCTGGATTACCATTACTGAATGCTCGGTATCTCTTTAAAACATTTCCAGCAACATTGATTGAAAACTTCAAGCTATTTACATTGTTGGATTATGAAGTGATAAGCTGTTTCCCATGGCAAAATTCCTGCCACTAAGCAAAACCCTGCTGAAGCTAAAGCCATGTAAAACAAGGCTAATAAAATTTACAAAGTTCATGGAATCATAGCAGTTCGATAGTGAAGGCAAACCAGATTGGTTTCAATGCAAGAGATGCAGTTGTCTTCCTGCACTGATCATTATTTAAAAGTAAACTTAAGAAAGTTCAGGTGTATATCACCATTGGCAATACAATATAGTTCTTTACCATCTGCAAATTACTTTTAGGATTTAAAAAAAATATTTATAGGATCTGTCATATTTCCACAAATTGATGTATAATATGAAAGTTATGAGGAAAAGGCCATAACAGATACCTAGAGATAATATTTTTTAATTGAGCTGTCTGGGAAATCTTTGTTTTGATTCTTCCTCTTCCTCTGATTCTTCAAATCGATTAAGACCCCTTAATCAATTTGAAATTTCAGGTTGTTTGTCTTGTTTCATAATGATCCTGTTCTTCCTCTCCTTTGTACAAACATCTCATGTGATAGACACATCCTATGAAAACCCATCAAACCAAAATAATGTTACATTGTTCAGATTTGCAAATTAGATTTGTTAATTAGGGTTGAAACAACCCCCTTTGGAATCTGTTCCTCTAGCATCTGCAGACTTGTTTTCATGCTTGGCCTGTTCCTGCAAATTGAGCTAAGCTCAGAGGAGGTCTGTGAACAATTGCTGAGTGCTGATTGCACAACCAGCAACCTTTCCTGTCAGCTGAAGCTGCCCAAAGAGCGGCTTGCAGGATGAAGAAGAGGGGTGCTCGAGGCATCCGTGCCAGACACCATTCCCAGCATTCAACCTTCTTCCCTGCCTAGAGCAGCTAGTGGTGGCAGCAGTGGGCACGGAAGAGGGACCCTGTTTGCACAGCAAAGCTGACCCTGCATGAGGAGGGTGAACCCAGGAAATCTGATACATTCCACTCCCAAATGGATTCCTTGCACATCCCTAATGTTAATTTCCCATTCTTGGCTGTGCTGTATTATTTTCTATGCAGTTATAGGTTGTACAATTTTCCCTATCACATGCAGAAACTTCACATATAATTATCTAATTGCTCACTTCCTATTAGAGGTTCAGACACAAAACACTCATGATTTTTCTAAAAGTAATCTGTAGTCTAGGATCCTGAAAAGGAGCAGGCCATTTTATGGGGCGGGGGGAGCAGAGGGAGCTGCCATTATTGGAAACAGACAAGTGGATAACAGTGCATGTGGCACATACCCAGTTAGGGGTCATTGGATTGGTGGTATTCATAGATCACTTTTGGGAGATTTCTTCTGTGAATGCAGAGGTGCCATTAGGTAAACAGAAGAGGAAGAATCATGCTCCTAGTTATTATAAACCTAAAGATGACCAGGCTGTGCTCTGCATAGAATCTACTATCTGAGATGCACTAATCAAACTTGTCTGTCTTCTTTCATGGCCTATGATTCCTTCTAGCTCTATACCTTTGGTCTTCTTCAATCATCTCTTTGCTTAATCTCTTGCCTTTGACTATGTGTCTCTATTAGTTGTCTAGATTTTGGTACAACTTTGGGTCTTGACTCTGCTCTTTTGATCTGCCTTTTGTATCTGATTGAAGCACAATACTTACAGCCATTGATATCTGACCTGATTCTGGCTCTGTGATTTTGAAGTAGCTTGGACATCTGTTTCCTCATTTCCAGCCTGCTACCTTCTCAATCTCCATTCTGATTCTGATCTTTTGAGACTGACATCAGCCTGCCCCAGGTTCTCACTAGATCTTCTTTAGTGACTGTTGCACCAGGTGAAGTATGTTCATATTCTGTATAGCCTGAAATGCCTGCGCTTATCAGGACTGGGCCTGGTTTAAATCTGGATGAGTGACTTAAAATGTGTGAACCGCCCAGAGAGCTTGGATTATGGCCAGTATAGAAATGTAATATAATAATAATTAGTAATATTTCTATATTGGACAAATGGTGAGTCTGTTCCTCGAAGCTATCTCCTCAGTCAGATAGCAGGCAGTAAATTATATGGCTTCTTTTTTACACTGATGCTTAAAAGGTTGTGACAGAGTAAAACAAAACAAAAAAACCCATACTTTATTTGTTCTTTCCTCTCAAATTTTCTTATTTCAAAACTGTATCACTATAAGGACAATTCATGCACAGTTCATATATTAAGAAATAGAATTTCTTTTACTAGCAGTCTTTCACTATTATTGCTGTAATATCTGAACACATAGCTGTGCCTCTGTGGTTAATTCTGACTTACATTGCATGTTAATAATGTAGTCTATTTCTTTGCTGCTCTTGCATTTTTACTGCAATTAAGACACAGCTTTGTCTTTAATCTTCTGCTATATAAACTGTAAAATCAACTTGGGTATAGTTATACCTGGGACGTTTACAATATGGAAAGCATGGGTAACATCCTTCTTGTAATTGTCTCCTATAAATGCCCCATAGTTTATATCAAATTCCTTTAGCGCAAAGCAAGGCAACACAGGTAATAAGAAAATTTTAGCTCACAGCTGTATGAAAATTAAAAATGCAAGTAGATTGCTGTTTGCCACCATTACCCACAATGTTTGCAGCACTTGGCCTCCTTGGATGATCAAGAATGCCCAGTCCCCTTTGAAGAGAATTTTGAAAGCTGTACTTATAAAAATTGCTTCCCTTTATAAAATTCTTTCACCACAGTTTTCCTTTTCTTCTGCTAATTATATCTCTAGTGACAAGAATCTTGTGCAATGTGTTCGCTTGTGGGAGAGGGCACATGTGTATTCATACTGTTTGGGGAGCAGCTTGCTGGCTAATGTAAGCATCACATAGTGGCTATCAGAAGAAGAAATTCCATAACATTGGGCAATGATGTGGGGAAGAATTTATAAGGGAAAAAACTTTGAACCAAATGTTTGTATTAATTATTTAATTTATGTATTCATTTATTACTCATTTATCACTAATTTCATTTATTTCATCCTATATTGCCTAATAGCTGAAGTTCCTTGGGCAGTTGACAATGGATAAAAAACACAAGAATGGCAAAACAAAATATTCTGTTGTACCTAATTTAAAACAAATGTTTAAATAATTTTAATAAACAGTTTTTTCCAGAACATCTGGACTGAAAATCTCCCACCCTCTACCCATATGTCATTAAATGTCACTGAATTCCTCAGAAAACGGGGCAGCAAACCTGGCACAAAAAGGATAGCAGAGTTGGGTGCCAGAATTGAATTTAAGTGGTTCTCAGTGGGGAGGCAATTCCTTAATCAGGGAGCTACCATGGAGAAGGCCCTGCCCTTTGTAGCCATGCGCTTGCTTAGGTTTCCTTGGTTTTCACTTTTTTTGCTGTAGAATATTGCAAAATTACTCATGCAAAACTTTATAAGAATTCCTTTAGACAGAAACTTATATTTAACATTAACTAAGCTTGGTAAGCAAAATAAATGAGAAGGCAATTTTATTTATTTTTTTTCCTTTGGAGAATGGCAAACTAAACGTTTTAGTTCAAATTAAATTTTACTATAAGCTAGGCTTTTTGCAAAAGTCATTGGTTCATCTTTTTTGTTTGTACTTTATGTTATAGTTGGATCCTGTATGAAAAGCCAAACTTTGAAGGGCCATCAATTCCTCTGGAGGAAGGAGAAATAGAACTCACAAACCTTTGGGGAGAAGAGTCATCTGACAACAAAGATGAATGCACATCTCCTGAGCCTGCAGTAATTGGTTCAATCAGGCATGTAGTAAAGGCAAGTAACCAATCAACCACCCAGTACCTTAACTGTAGTTCTAATTTAGTAGACTAAATTGCTTCCTAGGCCTTGGATCATCTTTATAACTTTTAAGTGCAGCAGAATGATAAATGAATCCTGCACATTACCTAACATGTTATAAAGATTTGTTGGTAGTTTTGTTTCCCACAACACTAGTTAAGTGGTTGTTTGTTTGTTATCATTATAAATAATTATTTTATGGGGTTTTTTGCTTGGTCAAATTCATAATAGCATAATGTGGTGAAATAATGGATCTCTTACTATACATTTGCCTTTATATTTCAGAAACAGTGGTGGAGCCTTTAGCCAGGGTTTTAATGCTTAAAGGTTCAGGCGTATGGTGCCCATTGCATAAGTTCTTTCTGTGCAATCATCAAGCCAGATTCAGAAGGGACAGCTGGGTCAAATGGATCTGTGCAATTGGTTCTGACCACATGCTGCAGACTTGTTCAACATAGCAGCAACCTGGATAAATCAGTGGCTATGTGTTTTATTTAATTGCCCTGCACAGGATAATGGGCATCACAGTCCCCTTTTATTACAGACAGATTAAACAAAGGCGGGAGAAAGGAAAACTGGAAAAAGTGTAAGGGTGGATCACGCATGTGAGCTGTGACATTGGCACAGATCTAACTCATTCTTTCTGTCTTTACTACCTTTTCTCTTGAGGAGACATTTCCTTGCCTTTCAAGCAGTGCAACATGGACAGTACACACACAACATCTACAGCAACCAAATCAATTCACAAGTGTATTATCTTCTTGGCAGGTCAGCTGCAAGTCAGATCAACTCTTGTTCACTATGATCCATGACAACCTCAGTTCAGTTCACTATTAAGCCTAGTGGACCAATAATCTTACACATTTTATGCTTTTTAATTTTCATTTTATTGTTTTTGCAGGATTATAGAATATGCCAAATTGACCTGTTTACGGAACCAAATGGATTGGGTGTTGCAAGTTCATATTTTGATGACACTGAAGAAACACGTTTTGGTTCTGCCCCAAAGACTTGCTCCATTCGAGTGCATTGGGGCATGTAAGTATATGGATACATATGGATTTAAAAAATGCTTCTGCAGTTAGTGTCAATTACCTAGATTCTGAAATAGCATTATACATGCTGTCTGGGACATGCTGGGAGTTGTAGAACCTTTTCTGTCTAAACTTGCATAGGATTCCACCCTTAGTAAATTATGATAATTCATACCAGGCATACTAAGAAATATCCACTAGCAGTTTCTCACTCTGTCTTGTCCCCTGCAATCCTTTGTACTAACTGAAATCTGCTTTGGAGAGTTTCTGGAGCAAGGCTATGGAGAGAAAGTAAGTTTCCCCCTCTCGGTCCGAATAACAGAATAACCAAATGATAACTCAGTAATATACTTTGCATTCCTGTCATCTTGTAATACATCCTTGGGAGCTCTTAAGAATAGGAATATATCTAGTTAAACCAGAAACTGTTGGTTGTAACCATGTGTGTTGAATTATTTTGTACTAAAGTAGATTGAATAATGGGAAAGTTTGCACTTTATGGAGTACAAAGTCATTCCAAATACATCATTAGTATATGTACCCGCATTGCATTCTTTTGTTACACAGATGCTGACTAAATGTGATAAATGACCTAGAAGCTCTTTAGAGTTGATTATTATGTATCTATTTATGTATTTATAAAAATTCCATACTGCCTATGAGACAAAGCTTTCTGGTTGATGTACAAGAATAGTATTGGTGAACTTTCAAATGTGTATGACTAGAGCAAAAGAATTAAAATGAAATTGCATAGGACAAAGGAGGAAAGGTTTATACAAGGGCATGGGACTCGACATTATTTCACTTACCTGCAGGTATGTGCAGAATTGTATAATAAACACTATGTACTGGTTACAGTTCAAGGAATATATATCAATATGTTAACCTGAGTAAACCAAGAACTGGATTGGAACATAGTGAAATGATATACCTGTTCACTGTTAGGTTACTATGGATAGCTGCTCATATACTGCCAATACTGTTAGAAATTGTTTAGCAGGGGGATTAGTAGTACATTTGCAGGACATGGCAACCCTGGGAATAAGCTATTTCCTGTGTGTTGTTTGTGGAGCAACCCACAGTGTGCCTAAAAAACAGTTGTGCTCAACTTGGGTTGTCCTCACCTTTCTTTCCCTTTGGTCCTCCATCTGTCCTGGACAAAATGTGTTCCCCATAATGCATCTCTCTCTCCCTTTTAAAAGTAATATTAGCTTTTACAAACATGATAAAATATAAGAATCAGTCTTTCTCCTTCATGGACTCTGCATCACACATACAGGGTTCTACATACCTATGGTAGGAGTGGGTGTGAATGAAGCCACAAACATGCCTTGGCAAGTAACTGTATCCCTGTCATAATAGTCCATGTAGCTTAAGCTGGCACTTGTATATGTATATGCAGCACTGGATGTTCGAAATTTAGTAAATGTCAACATTTCTATGGAACTGCTGATAGTAACTTTATTTGTCTTTCAGGTTTGTGTGCTGCCCTGCCCTTCAATATGTAATTATCAGTGTGGCTTCCAAAAGTTAAAATAGAGGAAAACAACAACAATAAAACATCAATAAAATCATAACAATATCAGGATAATTGCAGTAGTAAAATTCCATAATACAAATTCCTTCAGATGGTGAAAAGCAGGAAAAATGTTGCTCAGGCTGCAATCTTATGTACATTTACCTGGAGTAACTCCCACTGAATTCAGTAGAACTTACTACTGAGTAGATGTATAGGTTTGCATTGTTAGAGGATAGAAGCCCAAGGATTTTTTTAAAAGTTTCATTGTATATGTCTTGTTTTCCTTTTACAAGTTTAGAGCATCTTACATGGGGCTTTCTTGGGTTCCATTCAGTCTATCACACTCCTTACTCACATCTCAGAATCACATCCCTTCTGCTGAGGACAGCTTGCTAGAGCAGGTCTTGGGTGTAAATGTATGTGTCCAGCAGGAAGGTGAAGGTGAAGTATCTGTTCTGTTGATAGATGGAAAGTATTAAGTTTAACCCCTTGTTGTCCCCCATCTGGATACTGACCAAAGCAGTGCCTCTTTAGTGTTAATAATGTGCTACAGTCATGTACTATGGTTTTTTGAACTAGAATATACTCAACTTGGAATTTCCTATTATTTTCTATTTGTAGATGGCTGCTGTATGAAGAATCTGGTTTCCAGGGAATCCCTTTACTGTTGGAACCTGGAGAATATCCTGATCTCTCCTTCTGGGAAAAGAAAGAAGCCTATATTAGGTCTATGAGGCCTTTGAAAATGGTGAGATACTGATACAAAGTGAAGTCTACAGTTTCACAGTATTCTGTAAAAAATTTGGAAATATTAAGTGTTTGCTAAATAAGATTGGATTCAATGGACTTTTATCTGTTGGAGGAAGACAGCCTTAGATGGGTTCATTTCCATTTTGAAGTCTTAATTGTAGTATTTAATATTTTTATGAAAATCCATCCCCACTGAATATGAAAGGTGCTGCTGGTACCTCCTTTAACAAAACCAAAGTTTTCCAATTACCTTATCTTCATCTTCTTCTTCTATTTTTGTAGGGTGGACGCAAAGTTGAATGTCCTGAATGTCCAAAGGTAAAAAGATTTATGTGTAAGCTTTCTTTTGAATGAGTGTGAGACAATGCAATTTTGAACACTGCTGTCTTTCAAATGTGCATCTGTTAATGTATATACATTGATCATTGCTGTCCATATATTTTAGCTTTAATCTTTATAATTTGTCAAATATGACTCCTCAGTGCCCTATTTCACAAAAGCATTTTATAGAAGACATATAGTTTATATTATTTGATGCATGGGCTTTTTTCTCAAACAATAAATACAGGAAAACATGTTTGCTAATTAGAACAAATCAACAGCATAGTAGTAGGGTCATACTTGTATTGCGTATAAGCAAAAGTCACACTCTAGGAAGCCACATTTTAAGGTATCCAGAATGCTTCCTCATGCTGAATTATAATTAAAAAGTGGGAGGGTCTAGGGCTGTTAGTATCACTAAGAATGATTCTCCCAGCCTTCAGAGTTACACCACTCTTACCTCAGTTCATAAAAGTCCAATATCCTCCCTTCCCCACTGTCACAGTACATGTGTAAAAGGATCCAGAGCTTGATAGCAAAGTTGTCCCTTCAGTTTAAGTTGTGCAACACATGACTCTGGTACCAGATAAAGTATTCAAATTAGTTTTTGTGGTAACCTGAAAGAATAGCTGTGGGTCATGGGTTCAAATGCCTCTTCAGCCGTGAACCCATTGGGTTGCCTTAAACAAGTTGTAGCAGTCTTTTTGCATCCCTCCCCACACATCTGTGGATTATGATAATACAAACTTATCTTACAGTTCTTTCACATTGTATGAGAAGCCATTTTGAGTCATATGGAAGAGTCATGTGGAAGTATAACAAATTTTATCATTGCCTCTGTTTCTCTAAAGGTAATTATCTATGAAAAGCCTTTCTTTGAAGGGAAGCACATAGAACTTGATTCAGAATTACATTCTCTCGCTGAAGAAGGACAACAAAAAGAAGAATCCACAGACCTGAAAAGTGATCTGCTGACATCAATAGGATCCATAAAAGTGAAGGGAGGAGTGTAAGTATGAGTTGGGTGGAGAACTAACATTTCACCTGGTAGCTAATGTAGTGTGGTGACTAGGCCAGTTTACATGATCAGACAGCTCATGTGATGCATGGGTTGTGACACTTGAAAGAGGCTATTTTGAACATTCAGGCTCCAACTTGTCATGTTGTTTTAATCCAGGATTCGTGGGTTATGTCGGATAAATAACCCTAAAACAGGTCATGGGTTCTGTAAGAGTTGTTTAAATCTCACTTAATTGCATGATCAAATATCTCCCATTGGAAGTGTCCCTTATTTCATTTGGAATGTTACAACTATTTTAATGTTGATGTCTGGATTTTATTTTTTACTTTACTTTTGGCTGTTAATTTATGAAGATTACAAGTTTTGCTTACGCATTATTACAGTGCTTGCTTTCAGTTTTGATCTTAAAAAAATGTTTACCATTTGTAGTTGGGTTGCTTATGAGAAGCCAGAGTTTGCAGGGCATCAGTATTTGCTGGAAGAAGGAGAATATCAGGAATGGACCGACTGGGGTGGTTATGATGAACAAGTACAATCACTGCGGCCTGTTCTAGGGGTAAGTTTAAGAACACGTAATAGACAAATGTACAATACTTTTATTCTTTCTTCTTGTTGTTGCTATGTAACTTGTAACTACAGTACATGTAACTACAGAGCTGTATTTATTTATTTATAAAATTTGTATGCCATCCATTACTTCCGTCTCAGGAAGGCTTACAGCATTAATCAGAATAAAATAAATTAACTAAATTTACTATTCCATGCTGGCTGAAAATCCAGTAAAATACAAACAATAAAATACAATACATATTAAAATATTGATCGAATAAAAAGGTCTTAACCTGGCGCCGGAAAACACATAATGACGGCACCAGGCTGCCCTCTCTAGGGAGCGCATTCCATAGTCAGGGCGCCACCGCAGAGAAGGCCCTCCTCTGGGTACTCTGTCTTCTAACGTCTTTCACAGAGGGTTCCCAGAGGAGGGTTTCTGCTGCCGATCTCGGGGCAGGAGGGCATATAGGGAAAAAGGCGTTCCTTTAGGTATCCTGGTCCCAAGTCGTTTAGGGCTTTATAGGTAATTACCAGCACCTTGAATTGAGCCTGGATTTTGATGGGAAGCCAATGGAGCTGATAGAGGACTGGGGTAATAGGAGAATAATGCCCAGTCCCTGACAGCATCCTGGCAGCTCTATTTTGCACCATCTGAAGTATCCGGGCTGTCTTCAAGGGCAGCCCCACGTACAGCACATTACAGTAATCCAAACGGGAAGTAACCAGTGCATGTGTCACTGTTGCTAGGCAATCCTCCTCCAGGTTGAGATGTAGCTGATTGATCAGCCAAAGCTGAAGGAAAGTGCTCCTTGCCACCACCATCACTTGGGCTTCTAAGGACATCTCCGGGTCGAGGAGCACTCCAAGCTGCGGACCCTGTCCTTTAGAGGGAGTGCAACCCCATCCAGGACAGGGCCCAAGTCACCTACCCAGAAGCTTGAATCACCCACCAACAGGACCTCCATCTTATCTGGATTGAGCTTTAGTTTATTGGCCCTCATCCAGCCCATTACCTCGGCCAGGCACCAGTTCAGGACAGCCACTGCTTCACCTGGATTAGTTGAAAAAGAAAGGTAGAGCTGGGTGTCATCAGCGTACTGATGACTCCGCAGCCCAAACCTCCTGATGACCTCTCCCAGTGGTTTCATGTAGATGTTGAATAGCAAGGGGGACAGAATAGAGCCCTGCGGTACTCCATGATGGAGTTGCCATGGTGCAGAGCCAAAGTCCCCCAGCACCACCTTCTGAAATTGGCTGGCAAGGTAGGAGTGGAACCACTGCCAAGCAGTGCCTCCTACTCCTAGTTCCGCCAGCCTATCCAGAAGGATACCATGGTCAATGGTATCGAAAGCCGCTGAGAGGTCCAGAAGAACCAACAACTCTATGTAGCTATAGAGCTTGGTCTGTAGTGTAGACCATCCCATCCCCAACAGCATTTCACAGAATGGAAAGGGAAGAGAACAAACAAGACAAAGAGGTTGTTCCCTCCCTCCCCCTTTTAATCCACACGCCATGTATGCTGACTTGCCCACTGCAGCTTAAAAGAACTGCAAGTTGTAAGCCGCCCCAAGGCTTTGGCAAGGGGCGGCATAGAAATGTAATAATAATAATAATAATAATAATAATAATAATAATAATAATAATAATAATAAGAAGAAGAAGAAGAAGAAGAAGAAGAAGAAGAAGAAGAAACATGCATGTGATTCTGGATCATGCACAGCCAACCTAAATCAGATATACAGGAGGGTAGACGATTATTTTGTGGGAACAAATAATTAGAGGTGCTCCCCAATGCCAACCACACTGTTCTGTTATCCTTTAAACTGCGATGGCAATTTCTCATCGGGGAGGGGAGAACCCTGGTGAAGGAGCATTTGTGCCTCCTCACTGCTTTCTTCTGCCAGTGGGCATACAGCCCTGGATCCCTCTTGGTCTGGGTACAGAGGAAGCTGGGGAATGATAAAATGGCCTGTTAAGAATGGCTGTTGCTTCCCTTGACTTCTTGCATATTCAGGGTAGAGATTACATCAAGGGAAGGTATGGCTGCAGTTGGTTCACTGACAAGAGCTATGTGGAGTTTCTCTTGATCCTGCAATTGTAGTCTGGTTGTTCATCCACCTCTCACTCTGACCCAGAGAATGGTGGCAGTGTGAAGGAGGAGCTGGAGATGTCTGCTTGCATACTGGCTCTCTGCTTGTCAAGCCAATGACTTGTAGCCACGATGGGAAGGATGAGGAGCAAGAGCAGCTGGGAACAGTGGCACTAAAAAGATGGCTCTGGGGCCTTTTTCATTTGTACTGTCTGTGTCAGCACTGTTCTCTTCCCTTCTTTGATGACCAGCACCTCTGTGCACAAGAGACCCGCTTTTTGAATAAGAGTCTTGATATTTTCAGACTGGAGAAACACTTACATTGTGTTTGTTGTGCTGTGATTTTCTTTTGGTTTCCTTTTCTGTAGAGTTTGATGCAGCCTCACATGATAATGTACACTGAAAAAGATTTTGGGACTAAAGGCTCCAATGTAAATGTGTTAGGAATTATTTCCAATTTGAAGGACACTGGCTATGGAGTAAGGACACAATCCATAAATGTATTAGGTGGCATGTAAGTTGGATGTCAAGCTTCATTTTCATAATTAACAGTTAACATATATAAATATAAATGAATTACACATTAATCAGTTATGATGAACTGATTTATCACCATTTGTATTTCTGTGTGGACAGGGATAGTGCAAATTCCTTGGGAGTATGCATTAATTTTTAGAATGGTAATGGGGGGAAATGCATATTCAGTTAAGATGTATTGTTTTTGTAACTACTTTGGGATAAGTGACTAGACTTTTCCATTCTTATAATGGGTTTGTGTAGCCAGTTCCCCCGGGTTTGGACATTTGGGCTCAGATGAAACAACAATTCAGCACAGGTACACCAACTCCTGCCACAGTGCATGGACAGCTGAAGTGGTTTGTTCCCTGCAAAAAACCCACCCTCCATAAATCAGCCTGGGATCACAGCAGTCTGAAGCAAGCTAATACCTTTTGCAGGAGTTTAGTATTTCAGTACTTTGTTTGCAATGCATTTATGCAGCCTTTTTTTCTCCCACTTCCTCCCCCTCCTTTTTCTCAAACATTTGGTGCTCATGTCTCAAGTACAATCTAATAATTGAACACTTTAGGACCTGTTAGCTCAACATGTTTTTTCATGCTTGCACAACACTTCCTGTCCTGTGTGAATCACAGCACAGGATTGCTTGGCAGTGTAGATAGCACAAACCAAGGGAGTTGCATGCAAGTAATAACAGGAAGGAAACTTTCATTGGCACCAATCACTCCATATGTTTTCATGGAAAATCTTACTGTAGAATGAGGAAACAATCGGTTCCTGCAGTTGGATTGTCTGTATGGAACAC